CTCCCCTCCCCCCTCCCACCCATTTTCCCAACCCACCCCCCTTCCTCCCCTCCCCACACTCCCTCCCACAAAACCTCCATCTCCCACCCCCACCTCCCACCCCTCTCTCCCTCTCTTTTTTTTCCCCTTCCCCTTTTTTAGGCATATGAACTGCCTACAAATCATTTGTGGAACTATTTCCACCATTGATTTAAGACTTAGGGCGTGATCTCCGCCCATGAACAGCTCACCTCTCCACTGACCCCCCCCCCCAGATCACCTCTCTCTATTATCTAGACTCAGCGAGAATCTTTACTTCCCTCCCTTAATCGAAGCCTCCAGGGGGACCTCAACCTTCGGAGGGGAGAAACCAGGGGCGAGAAAGGAAAAAGAGAGAGAAGAAGACAAAAAAAAAAAAAAAAAAAAAAAAAAAAAAAAACATATTTTCTACTTAGTTCTCCCTCCTCTCCCTTCCCAGCCCCGGGGCCCCCCTACCCCCTACATGCTGCCAGTCCTCTTTTCTGGTGTCATCTATATTTCCTTTATCTTCTTCCTCTTCTTCCCACCCAGCTATTTCCATTCTTTGCAAGTCCAGTCTATCACAAAAGTCCCTTAGATCCTCAGGAAATCTCAAATAAGCTGTGACCCCGTTTTTCCAACTGATCAGAGATTACTGAGGTACCCCATCGATACTGCACATTCTGTTTTCTCATTTGCTCCAACAGGGGTCTCAGGGATCTCCTTCTCCATAGGGTCTCTGCTGTTAAGTCCGCATAAATTTGGATAGTCAATTCTCCATATTTAATTAATGATCTTCCCTTGGTCTTCTTCCAAATCTCATCTTTGACCCCAAATTTTTGAAACTGGACAATTATGTCTCTCGGTCTTTCCTTCTCAGTAGCCTGTTTGAATTTTCCTATTCTAAACACTCCGTCTAACTTGATCCCGTCTGTTTCAGGTCTATCTCTTATAGTGTTTAGGATTTTTTTAACTAATTCATATAGTCTTTCCCCTTTTGCAGTCTCCGGGATTCCTCGTACTCTGAGGTTACACCTTCTTTCTTTATTTTCTTGAACTTCCATCCTATAGATCAGTTTTTTCTGGTTGGTTTCCAATTGGGTTATTTTTTTCCTTAGATTATCTATATTTTAGGCCTGGGTTTTAACTTTCTCCTCTGTTTCTTCCACTCTTGATAGCAGATGCCTTAAATCATTTCGAATAGCTGTCGTTTCCTGTTTTATTGTTCTTTCCAAATTTTGAAACATTTCTATCATCTCCTTCCTATTTGGTACTTGTAGTTCGCCATCAGATTCTTTTTTTCCCAAACCATCCACTGTTTGTTGACTATAGCTGTTATTCATGCCCAATGATAATCTAGGACTATTTCCTGAACTAGTGTCCAATTCCCCTTTTGCGCTTGCACCTTGGGCCCTTTCTGGCGTAGTATTTCCATATGATGTAAATTTCTTTATTGTTCCTGTTTGAGACCCTTTGAGCCCTGCTCCCTTGGGACCTTTATTCTTCATATCTTCTGTAAATCTTGATAGGCTTGCTATTATTTGTATATATTTTATTCTCCTAGGACACCTGGGCCTCCCCTCTTCTTCTTCTTCTAACCCCTAGGAATCCTCCCCTCCTTCACCCCTTGCTTTCCTATATCGTTCAGGGGACCACAACACAGTAAGCCCCCAACAGTTCACACTCACCCTTCCCTTCTCAGGACGGTGGCTCCAGGCTTGTGTGGATAGTCTTCACTGCTGCTCAGTCCTGGGGGGGGGGGGGGGATTCCTCTGGGCTTCCGATGCTGTATTTCTTTCTTTCTCCTTAGGGTTCATTCCAGGGAAGCAGGGTGGGTTTTCTGATATTCATAGGTCTCCCTGACCCAGGATCGGACAGCTTGCCGGGGGGTTGCAGGCGACTATGAGCCAGCGGCTCCCTCTCACGTCAGGAAGCCTGCCGGCTTCCTCTTTCCCCCAAAGGTCCTCTGCGACTGGCCTCGTACTCCCGTAGCGAACCCTCACCTCTCTGCAACACGATTCTCCCACTCAGATAGCACCGGGGAAACCGGCATGTCCCTGGAGCCTCAGACCAGTTCTCATCTTCAGCTCTGTGGGTTAAGCTCTCCAGCCCTCCAGACTCCAGTAGCTCATTCCTAGTGAGGGTCACTGGCTGAGTCGAGAAGCCAGATCCAGCAAGGAGCTAGTGCCACTCGCTCCCCACAACCGCCCTACTCAGAGTCCTCCCTCTTTCCTTCAAGCAGTCTTGGGGCTTAGTCCGGCGTCTCCCTTCGCCTGTCAGATTACCGGCCGGCGTCTCTGTTTCCCAGAGCTCCTTTGCGGCCACCAGCTTGCTCACGCCGCACTGTTCCGTTTCCCTGGCAACCCGATAGCTGCACTCGGATCCCCGCGGCTTGTTCGCCTCCCGGAGATCCGTGTCCGCTCTCCTCACCCTTCACTGCGCTGGCTGCTCCCCCTTTGGAGACCTCCTCGATCAGGTAGGGGTCCACACTTCACACCATGAGGGATCTTGGGCTGGTCAGCTTAGAGGTTTATCGGAGAGCACTCACATCGTGCTCTCCGTTGCCGCCATGTTTGGGCTCCGCCCCCCTCTGGACCGAGGTTTTCCTGTGACTTGACTAGGTAAAAGCACTTTCTTGTGAATGATAGAAGTGTTTTTATTACAGGTATTTGTATAGCTCCAACAATTTTTTACAGCCTGTGGAGAGGTGCAGCGTGGTGTGGTGGCAATAATCACAGTTCATTTGCAATAAACTTGAAAGTAGAATGCCAAAGTTACAAACATCCTATTGGAGAGCTCCACCTAGGGGAATACTCAAAGTTTAGTGTAGCTTATAAAGTGGCTGAGAAGAGAAGCCGACAGCGTCTGTCTCAGTGGTGGGAGAGCCCCTAACCTGTCCCTTCTCACCTAGCACCTCTCCCTACCACTAAGTACTTTACCTAGCAAGCAGGGTATCTCTCTCTATCCTAGCCATTCACAGAAAAATCCTGGGGACAGGGACTTATATAGACCATGCTAACCCAAGATGGCCACCAAGGGTCACATGGCTGCAGTGCAGCCAACTGGAATGTTGCTCCATTGACCCAGGAAATCATAGAGAAGCTGTGTTTCCCTTGATTTCCACTCCAGGTTATGGTACCACTCAGGTTTGAGCTCCATCCACAGAGGAAAAAGCAGACTGCACCTGCCTACAAGTTCTTTACATGTTGTACATTCACATCAAACTCTGCCTACAAGGAGCTTAGAGTCTATGTTCCTTCCTCACATGTATACATACACATATCAGGGCCAATTTAGACATAAGCCTATTAACCTACAGACATGTCTTATGCAGTGTGGGAGGAAACCAGAGTACCCAGGGAGAACATGCAAACTCCATATATGTAGTATCTTGGCTGGGATTCAAACAAAGGACCCTAGTGCTGCAAAGTAGGAGTGATAACCACTAAGGCACTGCACTGCCAGAAATTGTTCTTGTGTACAGGTTATTAGTGCAGAAAATGTATTTAACCTGTTTTTGGTTCCAATGTACAAAAGAGCCGCACCAGTTTTTCTGGAAATGCATATCAAGCTTTATAGTGACAGGTATGACTGAATATAATAGTACACAAGTCTAAGATTACAAAGCTTTTATCCCTGAAGAAGGAGTTTTTCTGAAACATGTTGGGTTTTGTCCTGATGTCTGTCTGTACAAACAATTTAAGCCATGACAGGCATACTACAATTTTTCATATATTATTGACACATGGGGTTTTAATAATTTTACACATGTTTATGTAATAACATTGATACAGTATTTTGTATATGTAATGTATTTGTATACTCTGGATGCTTTGTAATAAACTTGGCAAACTAGCCTTTTATTGAAAGATACACGATTGTCATATCTGCCTTAAAAGTCCTTTAAAGGGTGTTTTGTATGATTGTTTCAGTTAAGTTAGCGATGTTGGCAGTAAAAAACCTCACCCACCCACCCATTTCTTCTGTTGAAAACGTAGAATAGACTTCCTCAAGAGTTTGTTCTGGCCAGCTCAGTAGATTGCTTTAAAAAAAGGCCTGGATTCTTTCCTAAATGCACATAATATAACTGGATACTAACATTTATAGGTAAAGTTGATCCAGGGAATCGATTGCCTCTTTGGGGATCAGGAAGGAATTTTTTCCCCCTGCTGGAGCAAATTGGATCATGCTTTGTTGGGGTTTTTTGCCTTTCTCTGGATCAACTTCAGGTATAGAAGTGTGTATATGGGATTGTATACATTTTGTTTTTATTTTTTCTTTCCTTTTTATTGGTTGAACTAGATGGACTTGTGGTTTTTTTTTCAACCAGACTAACTATGTAACTATGTATATCACAGGCCATGAAACCATATTATAAACAAAACAATCTGATTTACCAGGACCCCCCCCCCATGCCTACTTCCCATATTCTTATTATAAATGTTTGTAATTAGCAGCAAGTGCCTAGATATGAGGAACTTTCATATCAGGTAATACCCTGAAGCACAAATAAAATACACATGGCCTATTAATATCCCAGCTTACAAATTATGTTTATCCTGACCATGCTTCTCTTTTAAGATATAGATAATGTGGAACACTATTGAAACAGCGTTGACAGTTTTAAAATAAACACTTAACTTTTCCCAGAACATGGACAGTCCAAAAATAACTTTACATAGCATCCCATTACACTCGTTGACTTTTGTCTGAAGTATAAAATGGAAGAGAAAGTATGCTAATGTAGCTGCATCATGGGATTTGAAGAGATGATTTTGGGGAAACAAAACTCTCTGGACGACTATAAAATACTTATTTTTTTTTTTTTAAATACAAGGCATAAATATGGCTGTTAAATTAGGTCATGTCATGTGCTTTCTTTCAGGCTGCAACCCAAGTTTGGACTCACAGGACACTGTGTACAACAATCTACATTGGGCCCATATGTATCTTTGAATGTGTATAGACACTCTTGCCCACTTCAGAAGGTCAGGACTGTTACAATGGAGATGCTACGTCGCTCTTCCGTTTTTGCTGCAGAGGTATTTGAAGTGTTTGACAGATCCCCCACTGATAAGGAGCTGGTAGCACAGGGGAAAGCATTGTGCAGAGACTTTATCCAAGCCCGACTCCAGCGTGCTGGTCTTGGATGGAACAAACCAGAACACGGGATCTCTTCTTCAGCAGGAGGACGTATGGCGGAAGTGTCAGCCACCTTCCTGAGGCTAGGTCAGTACTCACACACAAAAATACACTCAACCTATGTTAAGGACAGTATTTATGGTGGAAGTTCAGTCAATACTAACTATACTTAAATCTACCCCCGCCCCATTCTAAGCCTATTCGATCTACCCTGTAAAGGAAAGATCTGTATGCTTACCTATGCTGAGGACGCTGTGGTCCGGTCACATAATTGGGTCCCAGCTCTGGCTTCAGTGTAAAGGAGAGATTGCTGACAATGGCTGCATAACCTGGGCGAAGACATCACCCATAGGCTTACTATGGGGCATACGTTGTCGGCTGTCCCTCCTCTACACTGAAGCTGGCACTGGGACCTGACTATGTGACAGGACTGGAGTGCCCTCAGAATAGGTAAGTATTCTTCCTTTTCACAGGGTAGATAAAATAGGCTTAGAATGGGGGTGGGAGTAGATAACATTAACTGATATTCATACATTTTTATATCTGCTGTCAACATAGCAATTTCATGTAACCATAATAAGGTAAATATGGGTGGGAATTCCTAAGTATTAAAGTGTTACTAAACCCAGGACCCTGCATTCACTATATCTGGTCTACCACAGGACACACAACATGGAAGTGCAATTATTTTAGTAAATATAAATTGCTAAATACCTTTTCTCATCAGCAGTTAGAGCAGTCCTGTGACTTCAGCAGAGCACTGGTTAAAGCTTGTAGGAGGAGTTTTCTTTCTGCTCTAGGATGATGCAAAACCCCTGACCCTCTGTCTGGACAGTGCTGATTGGCCTTGTGCTGATCACATGCACTCTCCCAAGAAAACAAAAACACTAGACTGAGCATGTGCATGTGGCTCAGTCTGTCTTATCACACACCAAACTGAGCATGTGTCTACGAATTCAGGCTGTATCAGGTGGTCATTTTAACAAGAGGGGCAGAGAGGAAAGGATCAAACAGCCTTTTTACACAATGCAGAGGATTAACCCCTTACGTTCCACAGTGAGTATAACAAGCAGGCTTTACTGCATATACAGACTGATTTTACTGTTGTGGGTTTAGTAACACTTTAAGTATAGTTAGTGTTTGACTGAACTTCCACTTTAATATAATCCATGTAATTAAATATAACTCTAAAACCATCTCAATGTTTGGACTACCAAAGACTCTGAAAACTCACAAAATGTTATTGTGTCCCACTCGTCTGTATGTTGTATCCAAAACTGCATTTAAATAACTTCCAAGCTATGCATGTGCACAGTATCATACTTTATTTTTAAGATACATACTAAAAGCACCAATCTCCAGTAATTTTTATAGTACCCATGGGGAATGGATTTTTATATCAGTTAATGCATGTATGTATGCTTTGAAAGTGTTTTATTAATAAAGTAATATTTGGTGTACATGCCTAGCTTTGACAATTTATTAAATACAGATAGAGTGGAACACATTTACATTTTGGTCATTGTTTTTTTTTTAGTTTTTGACATTGCCCACTTTGGGGTGGTTTAGATTTTATTGATAAATTGTTGGATTGCTCCAGACTCATGTAATGTTTTGTAGCCACTTTGTTTGTTTTCACAATCCACTTAAAGTGTTATTAAACCCACAACAGTAATATCAGTTTGTATATGCAGTAAAGCATGCTTGTTATACTCACTGTGGAACCTAAGGGGTTCATTATTATTATTATTATACAGGATTTATATATCGCCAACTGTTTGCACAGCGCTTTACAAAATGAAGGTAGACATTACAGTTACAATTTGGTACAAGAGGAAATAGAGGGCCCTGCTCGTTAGAGCTTACAATCTAGGAGGATTGTGTAAAAAGGATGTTTGATCCTTTCTTCTCTGCCTCTCCTCTTGTTGAAATGTCCACCTGATACAGACTAAGCCATGCACATGCTCAGTTTGGTGTGTATTGCTAGAGAGGTTTTGGTTTTTTTTTCTTGAGAGAGTGCATGTGATCAGCACAGGGTCAATCGGCACTGTCCAGACAGAGTTCAGGGGATTTCCATCCTCCCAGAGAAAACTCCTCCTACAAGCTTTAACTAGTGCTCAGCTGAAGTCACAAGTCTGCTCTAACTGCTGATAAGAAAAGATATTTAGTAGTTTATATTTACTACAATAATTGCATTTTCATGTTCTGTGTCCTGTGGGTGACCAGATATAGTGAATGCAGGGTCCTGGGTTTAGTAACACTTTAATACTTAGGAATTCACACCCATATTTACCTTATTATGGGTACATGAAATTGTTGATAGCAGATATAAAAATGTATGAATATCAATTAATGTTACTTATGACCAGCCAACGAACTGGCCTTCAGGATGCTCACTGAGCACTTTCTGTATGTTTTAGGAACACATAGGTACTGTAAAGAAAAAGCAAACATAGCAGAAGGTACATGGGCTACCTTGAAGGGTAAGACAAGCCCACAGTTTCACTTTAAAGGGTTTTATAATTTCATCAACAGAGTGGGTAAAACCTTCCATTTTGTTTGCTCTCCTTGGTTAGGAATTGCGGCTGGAACTACATTAAAATGTTGAGCAGCTCAACTTCCTAAGATGGCCTTGAAACTGCTCTGATTCTGCCCAAAAACAGCATACTGGCTTAGAATAGCGTGCGGTTTCCCACTTTTCCTATGATGATGGAAAAATTCTTTAAAAGCAGATTAGTCAGTGTTGCATGACAAGCGTAATTTAAAGATAGTACATGCAAAAAACCAGGATTCCCATGTGATAGGAAGTATTCTGAGAAAGACCAACAATTCTGCCTTATAATACAACAGATGTAGAATATATTTCCACTAATTCTTTATCATTTGAATGCCTACTTTTATGGAGGTTTCCTGTGGCATAGGTCCAAACTGTCTTGGGAAAGCCCAGGCACAAGGGAATATTAAATGTATCTGCATTACTGTTTGTATTCTAGTCACATTTTCCTGTTTCCATGAGTGACCACATCATTGTGTTTTGCTTATACAACAAGTAAAAAAAATGAGAAAGTCGCATTTAACAATACAAAAACAGCCTTTTGAAACAATTCTATCTTTCGAGTCTCCTAAAAGTCAGCGTACATGAACTGAAAATCACAAATGGTACCACATGTAATACTACAGTCAAGCAGTTGATGCCTTTCAATGAATGCCACAGGAGTTTACACTGGGCTTAGATTTTAATGCACCAGTAATACTCTATTGCCTCTATTGTCCTTCTATGAGTCTACAGCTTAGTGGATTGTCTGTTATGCTCAATGAAAAATGTTAAAGGTGAAGTTTAAAGTATACCTAAAGGCAAAACTTTTTTTTTTTTAGTTTTGGATACAGTGGAGAGGTATTAGAAACCCTGTCAGTTTTTATTGCTGTCTGTGCCTCTGTTAGGGAGATTCACCCTCTCTATTTGTCCTGTTTACCATTATCATTGAAATTAAAAGAAAATCCCACTTTGTGGGTTGCCCCCAGAAAAGTAATAGAGGGGAAATCTTCCAATGGGGACACTAGTTCTGACCTGGGGGTCCCCAAGGAATTCCCTTAATTTGCAGGGATTTCCTGTTTTGGCTATGGGACAGGAAGTGAAGCGAAATCTCTGAAATTGGACACAGCAAGAAAAAATCTGACAGGGGTTATAACTCTCCATTATTCTATCCAAAATGAAAAAAAAATGTTGCCTATAGTTCTACTTCAACTACTTGCCTACCAGGCACTTATACCCCCTTCATGCCCTGGCCAATTTTCAGCTTTCAGTGCTGTTGCACTTTGAGTGACAATTGCGCGGTCATGCAACACTGCATCTATATGAAATTTTTTTCACACAAGTAGAGCTTTCTTTTGGTGGTATTTACTCACCGCTGGGTGTTTTCTTTTTTGCGTTATAAACAAAAAAAAGAGCAAAAAGTTTGAAAAAAAGTTTTTCTTTGTTTCTATTATAAACTTTTGCAAACAGGTAATTTTTCTCCTTCACTGTGCGTTGATGAGGCTGCACTGATAGGCAGCACTGATGGGCACTGATAGGTGGCACTGATAGGCGGCACTGATGAGCTGGCACTGATATGCACCAATGATGGACACTGATAGGCTGCACTGATATGCAACAATGATGGGCACTGACAGGCGCCACAGGTGGGGATTGATAGGCCTCACTGATGGGTGGCACTGACTGATAGCAGCGCTGGGCACTAATGGGTGGCACTGCTGGGAAGCACTGCTGGGCAGCACTAATGGGTGGCACTGCTGTGCACAGGTGGGCGGCACTTCTGGGCACTGATGGGCACTTGTGGGTGGCACTGCTGGGCACTTGTGGGTGACACTGCTGGGCACAGGTGGGCGGTACTGGTGGGTGGCACTGCTGGGCACTGATCATCAGTGCCCTGATGATTGGTGCCGATCCGTCCTCTGACAATTGCCAGTTATCAGCAGTACTTTTCTCACGCTGTCACAGCGTGAGGAAAGTGAAGACGATAACCGGCAAAAGCATTTACCAGTGATCTGCTGTGTCATTGGACACGGCTGATCACGTGGTAAAAGGCCGCTGTGATTGGCCTTTTACCCCACCACGTGATCAGCTGTGTCCGTAGGAAAATTACAGCCCTGCAGATTGAAAAGGAAAGGTAATTACTAACATTCAAAAAGGAAAGGTAATTTACTAACATTCAAAAACAATATACATACCTTCTGAGATCACTTGCAGTGCATGCAGATTATTGCTGGTAAATTGGTCCAGCAAGGTGCTTATGCAACACTGAACATGCCAAAAACATCAGATCATGCCACCTCAACACTCCTTACAAGAGCCCTAGGCCCTGAAGCAAGTTATGAGAGTTATGCAAGCATCAAAATATGGTGATGGAGGAGTGTCAGCCTGAAGGAATGTGCATTCCTAGACAGGCTATATTTGCATGTGATGTTGCCCCTCCATGATTAAAGAACTCTAATGAATGAAAGGGGTGACCCAGGGACAATAAAGTTAATTATAGATGACTCATTTTTTTTTGATCAGTCAGTGGGCACACAAGCAAGGTGTATGGAGGAATCCTCCCGCTGGCACATTGTATTGTGACAGCAGGACTCCTCTGCTGTCAGAATACATCAATAAAAGTTTTCCAACATTCCTGTTCAATAGAAGTCAATCTAACTATTGATTCTTTTGAATAATGACAGCCATACATGGATCAAAAGTTGGATCATCTCTGTTGATCCAGCCAAATTTCTATCCAACTCTCGCCATTTTAATGTGTTACTAAACCCAGGACCTGTATTTACTATATCTGGTCTCCCACAGTACACAGAACATGGAAATGCAATTATTTTAGTAAATATAAACTGCTAAATACCTTTTCTCATCAGCAGTTAGAGCAGTCTTATGACTTCAGCAGAGCACTGGTTAAAGCTTGTTGGAGGAGTTTTCTTTCTGCTCTAGAAGGATGTGAAAGTCCTGACCTTCTGTCTGGACAGTGCTGATTGGCCCTGTGCTGATCACATGCACTCTCCCCAAGAAAAAAAAAACCTCTAGCACTACACACTAAACTGAGCATGTGCATGTGACTATGGATTTAGTCTGTATCAGGTGGTCATTTTAACAAGAGGAGGGGCAGAGAAGAAAGGAGCAGCCATTTTACACAATGCAGAGGATTAACCCATTAGGTTCCATAGTGAGTATAACAGGCATGCTTTACTGCATATACAGGCTGATTTTACTGTTGTGGGTTTAGTAACACTTAAAGGCTAGGGAGGAAAAAGCTACTTGATGTATAGTTCAGAAAAAGTAATATTACTAGTTACTATGCTGAAGATTTTTTTTCCCTGTTTTCAGATTTTCTTGAAAGGAGGGGATACATTCCATGGATACATAAAAACAAATGCTCATTTTTGAAAATGCAATAAAAAACTTCTGTAAAAGAAAAACAATTGCTCATTAAACACGTTAAATATTATACAGAGTATAAATAAGATGACCAATAGAACAGCTATGCTATGCTGTTAAGAGATAATATATAAAACTGAGTGACAAGTGGTTTGTTTGCCAACAGCTGTCAGGATGGTGATAAATGTGCAGGATGTGAGAAATTACTTTTACAGAGCCCCTTCAAGGTTGGAAGGAAGCCCTCACATAACATGGTCTGCTGTTGCTGGATTAAGTTACAGGCACTAGAATTGATTGTCACATGCTAAATAGAAATGTTTATTCAATAAAGTGATTTATATGAAAGTCTGCTGCAAAGCTGTAAAGAAACCTTGCATATTTTTTAGGAGAATGATCAGGGGGCTGAATTATACACCGAAGATCAGATTAATGGATTTCTAATTCTTTTCTATTTAGTTCATAATAGGAGAACATTCAAGTTCATTCATTCAAAGAGGAACTCAATTAAAAAATGTTTTCTAGTTTTGGATAAAGTGGGGAAAGTCAAATGTAATGGTAAATTTCTGCTTCTGAGGCCACTTTGTTCTAGTCAGAAGAATATTGTATTTCTTGGGTGAATTAATCAAACATTTATTTGTTAAGTAATTACATAGTTGATTAGGTTGAAAAAAAAATAAAAACTAGTACACCTAGTTCAACCATTAGAAAAAAAAAAATAAAAACCTCCATATACAACATTCTGTACCAATCCAGAGGAAGGCAAAAACAATCCTAGCAGAGGAAAATAAATTCCTTCCTGATCCCCCAGAATGTGTTATTACCTAGAAATGTTAATATCCAGGTTTTTTGTTCATTCAAACAAAGTGTTTAAACACTCTACTGGGCTGGCCAGACTTACTGGAGTTCTTTATTACACAGTTTTACAGCTCTAACCAAGAAGAAGCCTTTCCATATGTGGAGGCTAATCTCTTTTCTGTCAGAGAAAAGGAGTGCTGTTTTCCACTGTAATGACCTGAAAGTGAATAGCTCAACACGAAGTTCACTATATAGACCACTTATGTATTGATGATCCCATCCCTCCTTAAATCGCTTCTTCTCAAGAAATAATAAATTACATTTATTTGTTAAAAATTGTTTAGAATTCTTTATGTAATAGTCACTAAATAAGTAGTAACTGCGTTTGAGTTTATACTTGAACAAGAACAATTTTTTCAGTGTTATTGTACCATTTAATATTTCTTTGTATCTTACGTTTTCCTAATTAGAAATTACTGAAATAGAAACTCTTTTGGGCTTTTATTGGTCTCAGATATCCCCATTGGGAAATCTGTCCTCATTCTTTTCTTAGAGACACAAGAGGAGATGAGAGGAAATCTTCCCAAAGTGTGGGGAAATGCCTTTGAAATTTGTCAACTATCACCAAAACTGATGTCCCCTGAAGGAGGTTTCATCTCAACTCCTCTTTCAATGACAATCCTAAATGTTGGATTTCCTTTCACTTCCTATCTTGGTGATGGCAGTCAACAGAGCAAAAAGTGAGAAACAATCTTCTTAATAGGAGCTACAGACAGTGGGTGCAATTTCACGGAGGTTCTAACATAAGAGCAAAGAACAGTAACAGAGGACAATATGTAGAAACCCATAACTACCACACAGATTTCAGTTCACTAGGGTTCTCAGTGGATGTTCTTTTCTTTTTACTCAGGCTTCAATCTTCAACGTCATTTGTAAGATTTATACTGATTACATGATAGAAATTCTATCTAACAACTGGAACAATTGCAAATATTAGTCTACCGTTACAGCTCATTAGTAGAGATGAGCATGAGTGTCCTCCAAACTCAACTCAGAGGGGGTTAGTATGTTGCAGAAATTTAAACAGAAACATTTATCCAGCCTGAAAAGTGTACCTAAGGATGAGATGAGGACATGGAAGTACTGTATTCATCAATGTGCTGATATTCTTATAACCATTTAGAAAATAAGATGCCATGACTTGTAAATAGAAATGAGCTTGATTCTCCTCCAAACTCAGCTCCATCACCTTCATTCAGGCGCTCCCTCAAAAACCCATCTCTTCAGGAAAGCCTACCCCACCCTCACCTAATGGCCATTCTCTTTCTTTCCTCCCACCCCTCATTCCCCTCAGCCACTTCCTACTGTACCATTACCCCCTTCCTCCTAGATTGTAAGCTCGAAAGAGTAGGGCCCTCTTACCCCTCGTACGTTGTTTGTTATTGTTGTACTGTGCCATATATTGTCCCCCCCTCTATTGTACAGCGCTGAGCAAACCCTTTGGCGCTATATAAACTCGATGTAATAATAATAATAAGTACTTCCATGCCCCCCCCCCCCCATCTCATCCTTAGTACACATTTCAAATCGGTCGAATATTTCTGCTAAAGTTGCTATCTTATGTACAAAGTGATGTAGTATTGTGCTTCACTGTATCTGCAGTATGATAACCCCTCTGAGTTGAGTTTGGAGAACACTCAAGCTCTTTTCTACTAATAACTAATTATAGACCTGTTAGTTTAACTTCTATAGTTGGGAGGATACTGGAGAGTTTAATAAAAGACCACATACTGTAGATGAGTTCTTGCTGCAAAAAAAATATTTTAAGCAACAGACAGCATGGATTCATGATAGAAAACTGGCTAAAAGATTGTAATCAGAGAGTAGTGGTTAATGATTCATACTCTGAATGGTCTAGGGTTGTTAGTGGTGTACCCCAAGATTCAGTGTTGGGACCCTTACTTTTTAATACATTTATAAACAATATAGGGTCTGGGATTAAAAATACCATTTCAGTCTTTGCAGATCACACCAAGCTGTGCAGTGGAATAACGTCCTTACAGGATGTCTTCAATTTACAGGCCGACCTCAATGCACTGTTTAATTGGGCAACTATGTGGCAAATGAGGTTTAATGTTGATAAATGTAAGGTTATGCACTTGGGGGATAAGAATATGCATGCATCATACATACTAGGGGGAGCACAACTGGGGGGGGGGGGTCAATGGTGGAGAAGGATCTGGGAGTTTTGGTAGATCACAAGCATGCAATGCCAAGCTGCGGTTTCTAAAGCGAGCAAAATCCGCTCTTGTATTAAAAGAGGAATAGACTCCAGAGAGAGAGATATCATTCTGCCCCTGTACAAATCATTAGTAAGACCTCATCTGGAATAAATATATCAGTGGTTCATATAGTGAACTCGGTGTACAGTTATTCACCCTGAGGTCATCACAGAGGACAAGGAGTCACTCTTTATGGCTGGAGGAAAATAAATTTAATCTCCAAATACAGAAAGGTTTCTTCACAGTAAGAGCTGTGAAAATGTGGAATGGACTCCCTCAAGAGTTGGCTCTGGCCTGCTCCATCGATTTCTTTAAAAAAAAAACACCTGGATTTTTTCCTAGACACATATAATATACTGGACACTAACATATATAGGTAAAGTTGATCCAGGGAATATCCGATTGCCTCTTGGGGGATCAGGAAGGAATTTTTTCCTCTGCAGGAGCAAATTGGACCATGCAATGCTGTTTTTTTCCCCTTCCTCTGGATCAACTGTGGGTGTAGGATTATAAGTTTTTGTTTTTTTATGGTTTAACTAGATGGACTTTTGTCTTTTTTTCTGCCAGACTATGTAATAAGCTGTAATGGTAGCCGTTAGATATGATTTGTTATATTGCACACAACTTGAACAAATCATCATTGTTGTACGGTTTTGTTTTCTCCTAAATAAAGCTGATTTACCTTCATGTGAGTTGAGCTAACAATGGTTTTCCTGATGTTGCTGCATTGCAGGGGATGAGCTGGAGTACATGAGACCAGCTGTATACAGGAACATTGCCCGACAGCTGAACATCTCCCTGACTTCAGAGACCGTTCTGTCTGAAGCTTTCCTGGCGGTTGCCTCAGAGATATTCTCAGCAGGTATAACAAAGACTAAAGTAATTACACACAGTACAGAGAGATGTTCTATAGGTGAGCAGCATACAAATAAAAACACTGAACAGCACTTATGTATATAAACAGATTCATATACTCAGTACAAGCTATTACAGCACACTTACATTCTTGTGGTTCAGATTTATTTTTTATGAGTACATAGACAGGTTTACAGTTTGACTTATGCAGTATTGAAGGTACAGAAAGGTAATTACATATTTTGCAAAAAATCCACATAGTTTCTCATATTCATAGCATTTATGACATGGCATAATATAAAGTATGAACGTCCAGTCTGTTAGGCACTGCTATAAACGTTTCCTCCCCGTCTGGGGTTTGACAGGTGCCATCCACAAGAGCCCATCTTTGCTCTGTTGTTCCACAATGTCTGTGTACAAACGGACGTACACTGAACATGTCACGCCTGAGAAAAAACTTGACATAAGGACACAAGTGTTTGTACCTGTAAATCAAATTACCCAGGGTGTATCTAAGGTAAGGAATGGCAATGCTGTGGGTAGAGGCAGGTGTGAGTGGGAATCCCGGCGTTTAGAGCAGTGGATGAATCTCCATGGGGTTTTGTGGTTAATGGCAAGTGTTAGATTGTAAAAAGAAGTTTCTTCTTTCAAAACTGCTTCTCCCTGCCTGTCAGCCGTAATGTACACTGAAGCATACATTTATGACACCACTCTGTCGTGATCATGTGACATCATTGTGGCCTGGCCATTCAAGTGTCCTGGAAATCCAGAAGGAAGACCTGGAGAAGATAGAAGTGCCCATGATCAGCGGGAGAACTGACAGTGCATCGCTGGAGGGGCATCGTTTGACAAGATGAGCCCTCCATAATGTGCTAATTTCGAGTGCATAATAGTTTAGCCCCTGAAGGCCCATTTTTAAAAAAAAAAATAAATCCACTTAAAGGTTCAAGAAGAGAAGAGTCAAAGCCGGGTGGAAAGTATTTGTCTGTCCAGGCCTGCCATAATTTAGTGTACTTGGGAATCCTATCTTGCAGTGTGGCCTCAATTTATTTTCATGTATGATAGCCTGATTGACCCTGTTTTTGGCTGTGGGAAGGCAGAGTCTGGGAATCTTCCAGTCCTTGGTTATAGGTTACACGTGAAAGAAAAGCAAAACCAGCGCTCAGGTCCATACACGTCCTAGGTACACAGTACCAGTCACTCGCTGAGGTGTAGCCCTCTAAAGATTCGGGAATCTTGATAATACTGGAAAAAAAGCAAAAAGGGCGCACTCTCCTCATGCATTACTGTGATAAAAAAGAATTTATTGAAGATGACAAAAGCGTATACACACAAACCAAGAGTCATAAATAAAAGCAAGGAACCAATATGACAGTCCCAGCAAATGGTGGTCTTGTGACAGGGTATGCTAACGCTTTTCGGGAGATGAGCTCCCTTCCTCAGAGCTGAAACAACTAGACATCTTTGAAGCCTATATAGGGGAGCAGGATGGTTATAGTTTGTTTTTTTATATTCTCATAAACAGGGTCAGCTTAGTGAAGTGGAGAAATGTTGGCAAGACCAACTAGGGTGCAAAGCCATTAAATCTACTCCTGTGCTTGTTTTCTTTTAAGTTCAATGAAGACTTCACCCTTTCTGATTTTTTCAGCTGCCTGTGTTGTCACTGCTTTGTCTTACTAGGTCATCTCCAGTTCACAGTATGCATGGTGGTGGACTTTATTACTACAAGGCTTAAAGCCCAATTGAAGTCTCACACTTTTAATTTCTATTTTTTAGTCTTGCAACCCAATATGTTATAATTTGTAAATGATTTTTTGTTTGGAAATTCCTTAAAATGCAGTCCTCACACTGCAGTGCTCTGTGCTGACATAGCTGAGTATCTGCCACACCCCTTCACAAGTGTCCTCACACAAACTTGTATTGCAGAAGATTAGAGGGGCTGTGACAGTTTAACAGTCCAGGTATGTTACTGAGTACACTGGGTCTAAAGCCAGCTATAGGTGGATCTAATCTCAGCCAGTTCAGCAGGGACCAGCCAAGATTCGATCCATCTATGGGCAGGCTGATTGTACCCAACTCGATCGATCGATTGACTTGGGTACAACCAGCATGTCGGATTTTTTAGCACGTGATTATTAATGCCAGCGGCTATAGCCACTAGCAGTAATCATTGTTCTCCCGGCAGGGACAGCTCCCTGAGCCCCTCTTCCCCCACCAGGAGAAACACAATAGCTTCGTGGGACGGATTTCCTCATCAACCCATGGTGGCAGGAAAGAAAAATCCATAATCTATGGCCTGCCTAACTCTGGTGGCTTTTGTACTGCACAGTCCTATTTAGAGTCCAAGAACATCTGCTATAAAAGGAGAAGGAAGGTAAAGCTGTGAAAATGGACGTTGCTCTATCTGTCTATCTGCATATTTATTCCTGTGACTTTAGTCAGGCTTTAAAAAGAATTTACTGGAAGAAAACAAAAAAGGGGCGCACTCTCCTCGTGCATTACCATGATAAAAAGGAATTTATTCAAAATGACAAAAGTATATACTCACAAACCAAGATCTGCTCAATTGGCCTCTTATCTCATCCTACTCCCCTATATAGGTTTGCAATATGTCTAGTTGTTTTAGCTCTGAAGACAGGCGTACGTATCACGAAACGCATTTGAATACCCTGTCGCAAGACTACCGTATGCTGGGACTATCACATTGGTTCATTGTTTGTTCACTTGACTCTTGGTTTGTGAGTATATAGTTACATAGTTACATAGTTAGTCTGGCTGAAAAAAGGCAAAAGTCCATCCAGTTCAACCATAAAAAAACAAAACAAAAAAAAGGTTATAATCCTATATCCACAGTTGATCCAGAGGAAGGCAAAAAAAACTCCCAGCAAAGCATGATACAATTTGCTCTTGCAGGGAAATAAATTCCTTCCTGAGGCAATCGGATATTCCCTAGAACAACTTTACCTATAAATGTTATATCCAGTTATATTCTGTGTATCTAAGAAAGAATCCAGGCCTTTTGTAAAGCAATCCACTGAGCTGGCCAGAACCAACTCTTGAGGGAGTCCTTTTCTACATTTTCACAGCTCTTACTGTGAAGAAACCTTTCCGTGCTTGGAGATTAAATTTCTTTTCCTCCAGATGTAAAGAGTACCCCCTTGTCCTCTGTGATGACCTCAGGGTGAATAGCTCCATACCGAGTTCACTATATGAACCACTGATGTATTTATACATGTTGATCATATCCCCCCTTAATCTCCTCTTCTCAAGAGAGAATAAATTCAGTTGCTCTAATCTTTCCTCATAGCTGAGCTCCTCCATGCCTCTTATCAGTTTGGTTGCCCTTCTCTGTACTTTCTCCAGTTCCCCAATGTTCTTTTTGTGAATTGGTGCCCAAAACTGAACTGCATATTCCAGATGAGGTGTTACTAATGATTTGTACAGGGGTAATATGATATCTCTCTCTCTGGAGTCTATACCTCTTTTAGTACAAGAGAGGATTTTGCTCGCTTTAGAAACCGCAGCTTGGCATTGCATGCCATTATTAAGCTTGTGATCTACCAGGATACTTTTGTCATTTTTAATAAATTCCTTTTTATCATGGTAATGCATGAGGAGAGTGCGCCCATTTTTTGTTTTCTTCCAGTAATATCAAGATTCCCCGATCTTTAGAGGGCTGCACCTCAGCGAGTGACTGTTACTGTGTTCCTGGGGGATGCTCACAGACTTGAGCGCTGATTCTGCTTTTTTTTATGCTTTTTTTCTCTTGACATTTTAAAAAGAATTTGTCACAACTGAAGCTAGCTTGTGTATGTAGCAGTTCACTAATCAGAAAAATGGACATTTTTAAAATTGGTTTATGTTTAATCAGGAATAGTGTTATGGGAACCTGACCATGTGACTTGATTCATGTCATTTCACATAATTGGTACAAGACTAGTAAACATAATTGCCTCTTAAATTCCATTATCAGAGACTGTGATCTGCAGTACAAGCACAGCGGCAAGCTACAGAGTCCTTGCTTTTGACATTCAGAGAACATGTTATGTAAAGACGTTTGTTAGTTCCCTTAGCTGCTAAGGTAACTGTGCCCCAGCAGGAGTCTGCTGAGTGCGTAGAAAGTACACACATAGGAAGTGATGTCCGCAGAGGCACACACCATACAACAGCACTTCAAGCATAACTAAAGGCAAAACATTTTTTGTATAAATATGTAAATGAATTCATGTTTGGAGTAAACACCAGTCAGAGCTGCTAAACTGTACAGGTGTACCTCGGTTTATGAACTCCTCGGTTACAAATGAAAATCCATTGAAAATATTGCCTCAGTTTACAAATTTTTTTCAAAATATGAAGTGTTTATAGTGCCGGCCCCGTGCCTATAAAGTGCACTTTATAAAGAGTTTTGAACAGATAAGTCTTTTTTTTACCTTTTTCTAATTTTCTGCCCCCTGGAAGGGATTAATTGGTTTTCAATGCATTTACAAATGTTTTTTAATCATGTCCCTGTACAGAATTTATGCCCTTAAAGTGCACTTTATAAAGAGTTTTGAACAGATAAGACTTTTTTTTACTGTTTTCTGACCTCCGGAACAGATTAATTGTTTTTTAATGCATTTACAGTATTTATGCCTTTAAAGTGCACTTTATAAAGAGTTTTGAACAGATAAGACTTTTTTTACTTTTTTTTTTTTTTTTACCTCCGGAACGGATTAATTGGTTTTCAGTGCATTTTCGAATGAATTTTTAATCATGTCCCTGTACAGTATTTATGCCTTTAAAGTGCACTTTATAAAGAGTTTTGAAGAAATTAAATACTTTTTTTACTTTTTTTTTGTAGAGTCAGCAGCATGACACCAATTATATTTTTATATGTATGTAAGTGTGGCATTCTGACCACCACTCACAGGGGGGCATTCTTTCCACTGACCTTCAATATAAGAGGCATTTTCCCCAGTGGCCTCCAATTAATTGGTTTTAGCAAAAGATTGAGAAATGGCTGCTATACACTATAGACTGTGTATAAAGCATCATAATA